ATAACAGTATCCAGTGTTTTTTCCTTTATTGTATACACGAATTATGTGAGTTTTTTTTTTGTTTTTTTGTTTTATGAGACACTCTTTCAAATAAGAGAGGTTACATGATAAGCTTTTGCACTTTTCCTAGTATGACTGTATTTTATTTTCTGCAAACATCAGTCAAAAAAACACCATATAATAGTCTCTGAATTGAAGAGAGAGAATTTTGCTTTACACTAATAGACAAACGAAAACATTCATTGAATGTAAAAATTAAATTAATCCATTTACAAAATCTACATTTAAATATCATTTTCTTAGGGAGATTGAACATCATTATCGCCTACGTGAAACCGATTTTCGTCATCACTTGTCATGGCTAAACGTTCTTGATCGTCCGACTTATAACCCCAATTATCCCATTCGTCACCGTACAGTCGAGGTATTTCAGGAGTAAAATTTAGTGTTTCACTTTCGAATGAATGCATAAAGTCAACTAGACCATATGAGGCTTTTATCATTAACAATCTATCCATTTCGTTTTCCAACATTAGCGTTTTACTCAACGCTTGACAAAAAAACTTTTTTGTATCAGGTATAAAATACAAGACATAATATATCAATGTTAATCCTACAAATAAATAATAGAAACAGGGTTAGCCTTAAGAAAAGTCGTGTTTTGTCTACATCAAGAACAAAGGACAAGTGGCAGACTGTAAGATTTCGTGCTCAAAGAATTACACAATGAGTCATACATATTCGGAATCAGCGTCGAATTCTGAGTAAAACTGTATCCTCAGATCGTTCAAATTCGTGAAAATTTTTTTCGAAAAATTTTACGGCATAGGTCCCCCTCAGTGACGTCGAAAAATATTTTTTCTGTAAACTGGCAAAATGCAGGCCATGCATATGCCGAAAAAACAGATCATAGTTGATAGACTTCGGGCTTTTGATAGAAGGACTTGAGATAAGAATCTGCTATTAACAAGGAATAAGGTTGAGACTATAGGACTATCGAATGGTAAAGAAAACAAATTTCTATCTTTCTTTCTTCAGGAGATAATGACGTTACAAGTCTTTTGTCTCCACCGTACGAACACTTTTTCCACTAACTGTATTTACCGCTATTATTATTAACTTTAATCTTTTCTATATTTTCAAAAAGTATAAAAAAGAGTATACCACGACGCGGACATTTATCAAAAAATCCAAAATACAGTTTCTCTAAATTCAAATAGGGGTTAATATACTTCGACAAATAAGCTATTTATTGCTGCAAGAATTTTTGTGCCAACTGCTAAGGATGTGGAAAAGCATCGTTTCAAAAAATTAGCGTCAAGACATAGGGGCGTGCGGTAAAATTATTTTTCTCTTGAAAGTAACCAATCTGCACTATAAATCATACAGAATATGAATTTAGACTCCTTATTGGTTATATCAGCGAAATAACTCTTCTACTTAAAGTGACACAGATAAATTTATTTTCCAAGCTGGCTGATCAAGATGTACTAGGGTCGTACTGGAAGTTTTCCAAAAGTTTTGAAAAATCCTGGTTTTTAGATAACATTTTTCACTTTTTACAAAAGATTATTATTTACACAAAAGAAATTATATTTAATCTTATAATGCAAACAATCTGTTCTCAAAAGTAAATCATTCATAGCCTATACACAGTTTGTCGATGTTATTTACTGAGCAGTGTTTGACATAACAGTAGAAGGAGGAAGTCGATAAACTATAAAAACTTTGATTCTGTCCGAAGGGTAAGAGCTCTTCTCAGGTATAACCGATGAAAGCTCTAGCGAAAAGTATAGAAATAACAACAGAGAGCAACTCAGTCTCTCTGAGCTCGAAAAGGGATGAAAAATCATTCGTCAAATAATTAATCATTCAAATCGACGAAAAGAAAAAGAAAACTTTAAGCAGCAGCTTACCATTCACGATTGAAAATATTACCAGTGGTTTTGTAACCCCTAAGACTAACATAGATAATAATGCTTGTATTGAATAATAAAGCGATTGACCGAGTCCGGATTTTTCTAATTTTACTTCACATACGAAGGGCATAACGGTTGCAGATGAAATTTTTGTTGTCATATAAAAATCGGGTTTGAATGTTGCAGAATTATCTGTAATTTTCACAATATTAGGCTGTGTGTTGCCTCCACATTGAATATTTTTATTTTCTCTCATGAAAAACAATGAGTATAATATTGACGGCACTAATCGTTCAAGTTGGAGTTCACCTTTTAGCTTTTCTTCACCACAAGCGCCCATTCTTGAAAATAAAAAGCCACAACATTGTTTCCATTTATCATTGTCATAGAAGAATTCTGTCGATGGAGCTTGACCAATATCGATCGGACTCTTCAATGCTGTATCAAGGAAAATTCTCAAACGTTCTAATGATACGCCATCAACTTCTAATGTATTAACATCCTCTAATGAAAGAAGTTTTTGAGATGTACATGAATCGCCACTTACTGGATTTGCAATAAATATCTCATTGACATGTAATGAATATGGTAAGATAAACAAATCTTGCACAGCTTCACAATCGATACCACTTAATGCTGATTCGTTTAATGGACGCATAACAGCTTTAAATAGATTGAACCGAACATCAAACCCGTCGATTCCTACATATGAATATGCGCGATAATTTTTCGCTGATGATGCAGATGATGATGACGATGGACTAGTTAGACCGGATTGTTGAACTTTACTGCGTAATTCAATAAGTTGCTTCTGATAATCAGCCACTAAACTGTTCTGACGATGAATTTGTTCTACTATGCTATTGAGACCGGTCAGCCATTCCCCAGCAGGGTTAATAACTTTATTCAATATATTTAATGAATCTCTTAATGACGCTAGAATGCCTTCTGCCAATACGATTTCATTGGTTAAATGATCAATTTGGATACGTAGATCACACTTCTTGGGCGAAAGATATCGAGGTTTTTTTGCCGCTGACATCATCTAGAAGAATAGAATAAACTATTATTAATAATATAATATAAAATATTTATTATACTTTATATTCGTACAATGTTAAAAAATACTAAAACTAGAATTAATGATCATTTTAATGAACTTGCAGTATACGGAATTCCTTGTTTCTGCGGTGAAATTTACGTACGAGAAACTATATCATTCGAATATCGGATAGTTCAACACAAAAAGAAAATCAGTTTAAAGGACTCAGAGAATTCTGAGATAGCAAGACATTCTGAAAAAAGCTCGAGTCTGTATATACTATACCAAATTGAGGATATAACAGATGTAAAGTAATAAGCCCACAATGGAAATCTACCATAAGAAAACGGGTTAAATCACATAGGGGTTGAAGATTTTTTTAAACTTGAAGATTTATCAGCGGTTATTAGTGTTAATGCGGTTACCGTAATAGCACGATCTAATAATAATACATCTACTACTAATATTCAAGTGTTAATATAGCAACCAGATAATAAAGCAATAATAAAAAAAGAATAATGGAGATAATAAGTTTTACTCGTTTAGAAATCAACCTAGAAAAAGATATAACTGATTCTTCGATGGGAACTTCCATTTAATAGAAAATATTTTAAGGTACAATGTCTATATAGTCACTCCGTCCGTGTCTGTGTTACTCTATTTCGTCGTCCTGAAATTTTTAATGTCTAAATTGAATTCGCTTTTCTTCTTTATCGTATTACGTCGTGTATTTATACACGACGATGGACACAAGAAGAAAAGAGAAATGCACTACTGTAGTACATAAGTTGTTCGTTCTAAGCCATAACTGTATATTCAACATCTAACTACATACGTGTCACAGTTAATTTTATTTCATTCTAAAACTTTTCTTAAATAATTTGTACTGATGAAGACGGTAGTAAACGTTGAAACGTTTAGCTCTTAAAGATATTTTTTAACATATTATGCCTCTCGCAATGGTCATTGTTCTTTTTTCTAGCCAAAACAGCACACAAAGGGAGTCTGATATGTTTTAAAATATAGAACTGTCCATGTTCAAATTTCCTCTCTTAAGTTGAAAACACTGAAAATTCGGTTTGGAAGAGTGCAAGCATGTCAACGGGGAAAAGGCGTCCAAAAATCATATATAAATCCACTAGCGTTGCCTTTCACGAGCTTGTTTAACTTTTTTTTAAAAAGATCTATTGCAAACCATTCGGAGAAAAGAATTTATATCAAGTTTTGACATGAGTAACTAGCATTGAGTCATGTGCAGTTTTCAAACGCAAAACTAAAAAGGTTGATTGGTGAAAACTAGGAGAAAAATGTCATTTCCCATATATAATACGCATTTCCAGCCATTTTTAGAAAATTAAAATTTTTTTTTTTCTGTTAATATGAACTGATAAAGATAAAAAAGCATGCCACTAGTGTAAATGAAAGTGGCAATTCTCGAATAATTTTTTGTAAATTATTGCATTCGGTCAGTGGATCTAAACTGAGCTACAAACCAGTAGGAGACGGGCCTCAAATACGGTGCTTGTCGTAAAATGCGTGTAAAATCATAGAAAACCATATCAAAGAGCTCGCCGACGTCTCATTTTGTAGAAAAAAGGTTTTCCCTACATCTTCTCTTAACTTACAACAGCAGATGAATACAGATTTTATATGAAAAAGTTAATTAAGGAGAAAGAAAGTGATATAGGGT